AGCAAAAGAGACCTCAAAGCCCACTCCTATGGTGATACACTTCCTCCAGCAAGGCCACACCTCCTAATAGTGCCACTCCCTTTGGACGCCATTCTCTTTCAAACCATCACAGCAGCCTAATGTCAATATGTGAGAACATTTCCTGGCACACCCCTCTGATTCTTATCGAGAATATATAGAGACTGTTTCCCCTTCACAAGGCATAGGGAGAAGAATGCTATTTTATTGTGGCTTATTTCAACAATTAAACACATGGAGGCTTTCTAAGTATAAGTTTGTTTTCCTCAGCACTGAGGCTAGAACTCAGAGACTTGCTCAAGTTGGTAATTCTACTGCTGTGCTACATTCATAGCTCTGAAATACTGTAATTCACATTGCTAATATATGTATAACTATTACTTAATTATATAATTGCTAATCAACAATTTATATGTGTTACAGCTTGGTCCTGCATCTCTCAAAGGTGCTCAAGGCCAGGTCACCAACTGGTAGTGCTATTAGCAGACAGCGACATCCATTTAGAGCAGAGGTTCCCAATCTTTGGGTCATGACCCCGTGGAGAGTCAATGGACCCTTTGACAGAGGTTGATTAAGACCACCAGAAAACATAGGTATTTATGTTATGTTTCACAACAGTAGCAAAATTACAGATATGAAGTAGCAATGAAAAAAATGTCATGGTTGGGGGTCCTCACTGTTGTGGGATACTTTGATTGCACTCTGACACTCCCAAGACAGCCAATACAAGTTCACCTTGAATCAGAGGGTGAAGCTAGCTAGCTACTACCTGACCAAATTGGCATAGAGGTTTTGGAGGACCCAGAACATATAGAGAAACACAGGAAGTAGTAGGGAGGGGCTTAGAGAGATGCTCAGCCCTTTTGTTGGAGGAAGGGGAGACAGAGAAGGTCACTGGTTTCTTCTCTGCCACTTCTCTGATCAACCAAGTTCTTACCCCAATAATTGACTCCAAGTTTTTATTAATAATGAATAATTAGATAAATGCTTCACACTACAGCATGAGGAACTGTATTAAAGGGTTACAGCATTAGGAAGGTTGGGAATGACTGATATAGAGGAAGCAGGTGTTGTAATCAGAGTTTTCCTGTTCTGACCACCAAGTCCCAAATAACCACTCAGAGTCTTAATATTAATTATAAATGCTCGGCTGATAGCTCAGACTTGTTACTAGCTAACTCTGACATTTAAAATAACCAATATTTCTTATCTATGCTTTCCACATGGCTTGTTACCCTTTCTCAGAACAGCATGCCCATCTTGCTTCTCCCTGCATCTCTGGCGACTCCCAAGACTCTGCCCTCCTCCGTCCCAGGATTCTCTCTGTGTCAGGCTGTCTCGTCCAATCTCTTATTGCCCAGCTATTGGCCAGCCAGCTTTTTATTAACAAGAGAGCAATGCATATTTACAGTGTACAAAGATTGTTCTACAGCAAGGTGTCTGAGAGGGGAACCTCTTGTCTCTGGTGGGAACAGCTTTTTCCCTTCCTTGTCACTCCTGTCTTCAGACCTTCTGATCTCTCCCTCACTGTTGACAGTCCTTAGCACCTAGCTTGTATATCTGCCCTCAGCTCCCACACTGCCTTTATTCATGTGAACTTAGGACCCCACATAGCACACCCTAGCAGCCTTGTTTGACTGTATGGACTTGGGGAGCGAGCACCCAGCATCACATGAGACCTAGCCTTTGACCACCAGTGAGCAGCATTCCTCCATGACCTCTGCTTCAGTTTCCACCTGCAGGTTCCTGCCTTGAGCCCTTGCTTTGGCTTTCCTCAATGACTGATCAGGATTTTATCTGTATGTGACTGATAGTCATTAGAGAAGACTAACTTACCAGATGGACAGCATAGATTTAAGAGGAAATCAAGATCTCAGCCTTCTGAAACCACCCATTCTAGGCAAAGAAAAAGAAAGGGAGAGGGGGAGGGAGGGAGGTGTCAGGAAGGTGTTGTATACATTCAGCACCTCCTTGTCCTCACACTTTGAGGCGCCTATTTACATGAGGGCATAAAGAGAAGGAAGGCAAGCTGTGTGGTCCAGTTCCTGCAGGTCTGTCTGACCATAACAACTCCTTGAAACTCATGAGGTAATTATATGGGTCAGCTAGACAGTAAAACTTTGAGGAGAGAGAATTTGAACTGAGTGAAATAGAAAGAACTGGTGTTTCCTACTACAGCCATGGGTCCCACTACCTACCCCAGCTTGCAAAGGCACAGTTCCATATCTTGTCTTTTTTTTTTTTCATACTGCCACATCAAATTCAACAGCAGGATCTAGGGCTTTGACCTCCAAATTTGTATCATGTCTGTTGCCCGCCACTGCAGACCAGTCGTGTTTATCTTTTCCCTAGACTCGTCTAGTCATGTGGCTTCAACCTACTTTCCACCCAGCAACTTTGTAGGTGTTGTTGGCACTCAGTTAATGACTAGAGATTGATTAATCATTGTCAGGCCTCCTTTGAACATTACAGAGTTTTTGCCAGCATTGGCATCTGACCTCTAAACTTCAATGGCCTCCCAAGGAAATGCCTCCACTTCTAAGTGACTCTCAGGGGGTGTGGTGTGGTTCTGTTTCACTGTACTCCATCCCATCCCCAGGCTGAGAGGCATGGTGTATAAGTGATATTTTTAGTTTAAATTTATTTATCTTTTATGTATATAGATGTTTTTCTGCATATATGCACGAATACCATGTGTGCCCAGTACCCACAGAAGCCAGAAGAGGTCATTGGGTCTCTTGGAACTGGAGTAGCAGACAAGTGCTGGGAACTGAACTCAGGTCCTTTGTAAGAACAGCAAATGCCCCTAACTGCTAAGCCATCTCTCCAGATACTCCAATCTTTTAATGTAAAATAAACTACATCACCCCCTCACCATTTAAAACCATTAGTGTTTTCCCTCTGAACTCATACCCCAAATTCCTCCTGGGAATATCAGGGCTACTTGTGGCCTGGCTTTTGTCATGACAGTCCCTTCTCTCTTCTTCAGCCCATCCTCTCTCTTGTTCTTAACCACACCAATCTACGGCCTGCCACTGAGCCACTGCACCTGCTATTCTGTCCCAGAATGCTCTTCCTTTCATGTCTTGGCTGGTCTTCCATCCAGGAAGGTTGGGTAGATGCAAAGCTGTTAGTGGCCATGTTGAAGGGAGTAGAGCCAAGAAGAGAGAGAGAGGCATGGCTAATAGTTGATGACATCTTTTGAACTCCTGGATCCTGCTGTTTCTTAGGCAAGAGCAACACAATGCATATCATTCCCCCTTTTACTTAATTTGGGCTGCACATTTGCCACCTGCCCTGGGAACCTTAATCCTTAACATGGACTCTCACAGCCACCCATGTGTGTAGCAAGAGGGGAAAGTAGGTAAATCTTTTGCAGTCCTGTGAGAGAAGGGCCTCTTTGGGATCCCCTGACAATCTTCTTCAAAGAAAGACTAGAATTCCCACCTGCTAACACCCACAATCATGGTTCACATCCCTATTTCTTCCTCTGTTTCCCTAATGATATTTGGAACCTTTTTTTTCTTAGATGAGAAACCGTTCTTCCTACTGTTTACTATTTCAGACAATGCTTGGTCTCTTGTACCTCTCATAATCTGCTTGACAGTGGCACCTTATCTGCCCTCTATGTCCTCATCATGTCCCATTGGGCAACTTTGGCATTCAAGTTACCCCTCCTAGTCACACCAGCCAGTGGTGACTGCAACTTGTCAGTCACCAACTAAACAGTGGCCTTTCTCAGTCCTTCTGCTGTCTGCTCTCCCTACAGCACCCAGCACAGTTGCCCATGTCCTCTTCATATTACCTGGATGCTGTGACCCCTGTGATTTTCTTGCTTTTCTGGACAGTCCTTTCTCTGTAATGTGGACAAAACTGAAGCAGGTCACACGGTAAGTAGGAAGGCCTAACCCAGTCTTCTTGGTTCAGTGTAGCCACTCAAATGGATCTTATATATTAAAACTCTATCTGGAAAGGTCCAGGAGTGAGCTATCATAGTGACTTCATAAAAACAAAAACTGACACCGCCTAGGAGTCACCCTACATGGGGACTACTTATTCCATCGTGGCATCTGGTCCCTGAGAATGTCTACAGACATTCACAGGTCATCTTCCCAGACTCCTTTTGTGTAACTGTTCTGACAGCAGACCTTTTACCCTGGTTTTAAGTGGGTGAACCAGAAAGACCACCCCTATCATAGGATAAAGCACACACAGCAGGTCTTTGTGGAGTCGGGCCTCTTTCCACTTTTCTGTGCTCACTGGGGGTTGAGGTCAGGTTACCAGGCTTGCACAGCCATCATCATCTCACCAGTCCAATCAAGAGGGACTTTAAACATGAGAAATGAACACATCCAGTGAAAGTGAGATTCCTGTGTCAATTACCAATCCTTCCTTACCTGAGATCTGGGAAAAGCCAACTTTGTGATTTCAAAGTGTAGGCACTGAGCCCTCCTTTAAGAATGTTTTTGGGCTGGGTGATGGTGGCACATACCTTTAATCCCAGCACTCGGGAGGCAGAGGCAGGCAGATCTCTGTGAGTCTGAGGTCAGCCTGGTCTATAGAGTGAGTTCCAGGACAGCCAGAACTACATAGAGAAACCCTGTCTCAAAAAAACAAAAAGCAAGGATGTTTTTGGTCCTCCATCAGTGAACAGGATTGCTTTCTCATGAGGAAATGGCGATTTACTATGGGATTCAAGCACATCTTGGCCTCATACTTTCATGGTTATTGTAACCCAGCACAGTTTTCTCCTGCTTCTCTTCTCAAGTAGACTTGGTAAAGTAACACTGGTACACTTGTTGGACTGACAGACCACACACCAGGAGACTGGAAGGAAGTAGACCATGATCATAACACATTTTGCCTCAGACCTTCTTATTTAAGAAAGGCCCTCCAGGCACTTTTATTTATGGGTATACATAAGATTGGCAAGAGCACCTTTCAAAGTCACAGTTGTGACCATTTTTTTTTATGAGGTCAGTGAGAAGGCAGAGAAACAATGGCAGTAGTTTTGTCATCATAACAGTGGCAGTGCTGTTGCTGGCTTTGTGCCTTTCCTCAAATATGACCATCCCTTCTCTGCCCCGTTCTCTGAGGAATGAGGAGAACTGGAATTCAAGCCGTAAGGTGGTATTTGTTTTGTCAGTGGACAAGCTCCCCAGCTTCATGTCCAGTCTTGGACAAAATGGCGGCTATGTCCTCTCTGCCAAAACTTTACTTCAGCAAGTCCAGCCTAGATCTTGAAGTGTCTCACCCTGCCTGGGCACAGGGGGGCCACTGGACCAGCAGCACCCGCCATGCCAGGCTGGACCACCTTAGGTGGGCCAACAGCTTCTCCTGAGGCTGACTCCACTGAAGCCACAGGTGAGAAGGCATGGCGTAGGTCATGGTGTGTTCGGTGGGCTGGAGGTCCAGGAGGAACCGCCACCACCATGGGTCCTACCACCAAAGATGCAGGTGAGCCAGCTGATGGGGCTGCAGGTGCAGCTTGGTCTACTGCAGGTGCAGCTTGGTCCACTGCAGGTGCAGGGCCTGCTGTGTTGGCACTGGCTGGCTGGGGCTGTAGGGGCACAAGGAGAGAGGGGGGGAGAGAGAGACAGAGAGAGACAGAGACAGAGACAGAGAGAGAGATCCAGTTTTTGGGCAAGATTGTTTCCTCCTCCCAGACAGGGTTCCCCATGAGTCTGTGTTGTAGCCAGCTCTATTTCCTCAAAATAATGACTGTTAGTTGGAAATAGTTAAAAAAGAACTGGTAAAATACTCAGGACCCTCACAGGAAGAGGTAACTGGTCTCTGGGGCTCTAGTCTTACTAGTTTTACTGTAGTTCCAATAGACTTCCACAAACACAGTCCCTTTTATAAGCACCCCCACCCATTCACCCTTTGCCATGAGTACCTGGGAGCTTGCTACTTGGTCTCTGTAACTAGGAAAAGCACTTCTACCTTTTACAAAGGTGGCTTTGCCAACTACACATAAGGACTGTTCTCCCCTGTAGCCACCAGAGCATGAGAGGAAAAGACCCGACTGGCACATCCTTCACCCAGTTGGTGAGTCCACATACTGTAGTGTTACATCCCACTTTGAGGCTTAGGACAGGATAGCAAGTGTCCCATTATTGCTAATCCCCTGCAGAAGTGTGAAGGGGTTACTGTCTGTAAAAGATCCGTGAAGTTACCTGTTTTTGGAAATCTTTGCAGGCCACTGAAACCTCTTCCCCACCAAGCTTTTGGACAAGACTCGCCTTGCAGAAGCCATATTGCTGTTTCCAGGAAGAAAGGGGTTATTTTAAATGTTATAAAGGTGCTTCTCCCCCAGTCAACCACAGTATAATATATCAAAACAAAGAAACTTAAAGTTGTAATTCTCTTAAATTTACCCCTTTTAAGTTGATAATTTCTGGGCAACTGTCCTTGAGAAGCCACACACATGTCCTAAGTAATGAAAGTCAGTCCTCTCTCCTCTCTCCATATATATATATATATATATATAGATCCACTTAAATCTTTCTTTAAAAATCTTACGTCAACCCTAATTTTGCTTCAAATGAAACTTGGTTTTTGCTTATGAAACATATGGAATTCAATTCTACAAATAACCCTGGATACAGAGAAACACACTATGAGAGGGAGAACACGTGCCTGGTATCCCTGAGATGGAAGTGACATAAGGAGAGCTACTGCTAATATAGGTGTGCTTTTTTATTTTAATGAACTCTGTTAAGTACAACTTAAACTACATCTTGAGGTCATTGTGAATATGACTTTGGTACCCTATGTCTTCCAAATACTCTGGGGATGTTTTACTCACATCTGTGATTATCCCACACAATTTTCTGTTCACTTCTGTACCACAATTGTTCACTGACTCAGTCTTACCAAACACTGGGATCCTTCCTCTGTGCTCTATTAGTTACTGATGACACATCATCTTTGTAGGTATATTTTGGTCAAACACTTCTGACACTCTCTTGAGCTAACCCTCCACAAACAGATATGACTGGTTCAAAGACTCGATGCTTCCAAGGAAATCTACTTCTCACTGCCCAGCAGCCACACACACCAGACTGCAGTGGGAACTGGCTGCTGACTGTCATCAAGCTTCATGTGCTTCTAAGAGGTGAGATAGTTTGGTGACTACAGTTAAAGGGGGAGGTGAGGCACCAGAGAAAGTTCTGGCATGGCCCAGCCCCATAGCAAGTGGGTAAGTGGACATTTAAAATAAAATTAAGATTTGAATTGATTACTTTTAGTTTTGTGTGTGAGAGAGAGAGTGTGTGTGTGTGTGTGTGTGTGTGTGTGTGTGTGTGTGTGTGTGTGTGCAGGTGCCTGCAAAGGCCAGAGGTGTCAAAGTGGTGAGCTGCCTGACAGGGGTGCTGGGAATTGACCTTGGGCCCCCTGGATGAACAGAAGTATGTGCCCTTAACTGATGAGCCTTTCTCCAGCTTTATAAGTGGGCATATTGCACTGTTTTTTAAAACTTTCTTCCTTTAACCCCAAGATGTAAACTGCAAAGAGATGCTTTGTTTCATAGCCAGGTTTGCCTGGTGGCAGGAGCCCCAGGGTCTGGCCCACTCACCTTTTCTGCCAGCAGGTTGCATTTGGCTGGATCTGTGACCTCTTGAGCATTACAGTCAGTAGCAGCTACCACAAACTCCACAGAAGTAGAGACTGGGAGAGGCTGAGGATAAAAATGGAAACATATGTGAGGCAAGATGATCTGGGATTGAGAAAGGGGCAAGAAGAGGCTGGAGGGAGGGGAAGGAGGATGGGGAGGGGAGGGGGAGGAGGAGGGGAGGGAGTAAAGGCCGTGGTGTGGCATAGCTTAAGAGAACACAAATCACACAGACCATGTGTGTGGCCCTAGGCAGTTGAAGGGGTTGTGTGTTGAAGCATTTGGGATGAGGAGGCAGGAACTGAGTCTTCTCAAAGGATTGACAAGTGTCTATCACCCAGGGCAGAGGTTAAGTTTTCAGAGAGGAAACAGGAAATCAAAAGGCTGACTTTAGGCAGTCAGGGATGGGAACCCAGCATCTCCAGGCCCTCAACCACTGTAACTCAATGTTTGGGTCATTCCAGGCTGGAGGAGGAGGTGAAGAGATGGCCCCACACCAGTTTCATAAAGCAGAATCAAGAGAGAAACAAACTAGATGAAAGAATGGAAGTCATTGCTCATTGCTTCCTTCCTGGGAATGCTAGGAGACTCGCAAACACAGCACATCTGTTACTTGGTGTATGGGATGGGTATTCTCTAGGAATTACCACGTAGATTAAGGTATTTGCAAGTATGTCCTGGCTGACTTCCAGATTGTCAGGTTTCTTATACATCACAATTCGCTACATGCAAACAGTTAAACCTTTGTTGTACAATTAGATGATCCCCTCCCAACGCCAACATCTCTGGGCTTGAAAGGCAGATTAGGAGCCTTCCATTATATGCCTGTCAGTATGAGTAGGCCCATACCTTTTGCCAGTGGTGATTCCCAGACTGCAACTGATAATCAGTTGATAATCCAATCAACCGGATGCTACTGGTAGGGTGGTGAATGTGTGGCACCCAGAGAGCCCTGGTGTTAAGGGTTAAGTAGAGGCAGGGAAGCTGCTCCTTGTGGCTGACTTATGTTGAAGTGGCTCAGCTTGGGACAGTGTTGCTGAGAGTCTGGGGTTCCTCACAGTCCTAGGAGCCCCCTTGCCAGCCTTTTCAACCAATGTCCCCTTGTCTTCTGGTTGTCATCCCCCAAACATTTCCCAAGGGCCACCAAATTACCCAAATCTACCAAAAGAGTCTTAGGTTTTTACCACATTTAGAGCTCTGGAAATCTCCACTAGTTTAAAATAGGTTCCATTATTCTGTGCATTGAAGGTATCCAGGGCAGCTTTGACGGTGCGCACCACATTGGTGTCATTGAATGGAATCAGGAGTCCGCAATTTGGGCACAACTTACGCACGTCCTCAGCAGAATCTGGACAGAAAGATGAATGGAGTCTCACCTGCCGTTCACCAAGGTACTCACCACTCTTTGCTTATTTATAAAGGGCTACACATGCTCAAATGGAACATGTTTTTTCTCTAAACCTTCAAGCTGCTGTATGAAGTTTCATTAAGTCATAGCCATAAGGGACAATGTTCACCCATGGGAACAAGCTCCTTTTAAAAAAAAAATGGTGTTAGAATCCCAAGACCCAGAATCCTCACCAATGACTCAAGGACTATTTGAGTTCAAAATTATTGGTTCCTTTCTCATTCTACAAGGTAGAAATAAGCAGAAGAATCATCTGACCTGGATTGGAATGACACTGGCTGTGAAACACAGTGAACTTGCCATCTTGTTTCAGAACGTGGAAGTCACAGTCTCCCTCCACCGCCTGAGAAAGAAACCCATGCTGATATCCAGGAGCACTTCGTCTTGACTACTCATCTAGGGAGTGGCCTGGCAGGGCTGTCGGGGGTAACCCACCCAAGATCACCTTGACAGGTCTTACAATCTGCTTTCAGGGAGGGCTTCAAGAAGAAAGCTAAAGAGCTGTGAAAATCAGCCTCCCGGAAGGCGCCATCCTGCAGCTCTGGCTAGCCAAGATGGCTGCCAGGTGTAGGCTGAGGCCAGGCTGCTCTTTGCTGAACCGTCTGGCTAGGCCCCACCCACCCATCGTAAGGTAGCACCCATAAACTGGTACTCACATGCTCGGTCACCTGCCTCACAGAACAGTTGGCCGGAGGAGTGGGGTCTAGAACATGGCAGGTGGTCTCCAGTGTGTCTAATTCCAATTCGTATACCACTCCAACGGGTCGCTGTGGAGACCAAGGGAAGAGGTGAGCAAGTGCCAGCCCATTCAGTGAATCAGCCAGAGTGAAGGCCTGGTAGAGCCTGGGTGGTGGTGAACTCTAGGAGAAGTGAGAAGAGGCCCCACCGGTCTCAAACCCCCTCTATTTCTGCACTGTTGTTTGGTTTTTTTTTTTTTTTTTTTTCTTCCACTGTAGATGGAGCAGGTATGAAATGGGGACAGGAGGGCAGAGGGCCTCAGTCCTTATTTTGAGCTCTCTTTTACACAGGAGAAGTGGCACCGAGGGCTACTTTTTAATTTTGGGCGGTTTATATCTTGCTATGTTTTTTTTTATCCCTCCCTCTGCTTCACCCTTTCTTCTCTCTAGTTATCCACATCCCTCCTCTTCTCCTTTCGGTTTTCTTTTCCTTAGAGGATTCTCTTGGCTTTTCCCTCAGCACTGCCAGGAATAGAAGCACCAATCGCAGGGATGTCCCAAACGACTCCCTGAAGACATAGAGAGCTTCCTGCTGCATGAGGGAGTCCCAAGGAAAGCAGCCCTCAATCTCTGCTTAATGCACAATGCTCTCCCGTGGCTTTCCCTCCAATATGCATACTTCGTGTTATTCTACACAGATCTGCTCATTATGCCTTCGCTGCAGTACTCTTAAAATTCACCCAGGGAAACCCTTGTTTCCAATCAGCTGTCCCTGTGCAATACTGGTTATCATTCCTTGGTCTGGGCATCCTGACATTTGTTTTATTTTCCCTCCTAAATCACAAACCTCTTGTGACATAAACATGCCTTCCCATCTTTATGTTAAGCTGAGCCATATGGAATTTCCAACTTTGTATGTCAAAAGCAGCTAAATATTGGAAATTTTATCGTTTCAACGTGCTAGTGCCCATAGCATCTGGTGTAGAACCAACATGGCTACCACACAAGGCTGGGAGGGAGAAAGGGGAGCTTAATGAAATGGTCGGTGTTAAAGAGCTGTCACACATAGGCACTGGTCAAATGCCACTTCCCATTTTTATCAGAGATAAACAGAAACCAAGAAAGATAAGTGATTTTCAAATAGGCAAGTAGGAGCCCAAGTTCCCAGCAGGTCGTACCTTCCACCTGTGGTCTGTGAACTATCCTTGAGTCCTTTATTCTTCCCACATGAAGCATCCCCTGTGAGATTCGTGACTACAGTTTGGATGTGACCCCTCGTGCTCTCCTCTTTCCCTGTCCTGTTTCTGGGAAGAGACCAGTCTCTGCCACAGTTTTATGGACACTGGGAGATGCTAACCTTTGAGGCACCGTGTTGTGCCCCCAACACAGATTCTTTCAGCTCAGTCATGGCAGGCTCACTTACCCGAAACCACAGCTTGACTTTGTCAATCCGATTCAAGACGTGACTGAACCCATGAAGAAGATGTTGATTGAGGTAGTCTACGGCCAACAAAGCTACTTGCTCTACTTCTGGGTCATCACAAGCCACTTCTTTAAAACCCAGCCCTGTATTATGTGGAGCCGATTGGCAGCCCCAGAGCTGAGCTAAACAAAAGAGCAGGACCAGGGACTTCATGGCTGCTCCAGAACGGCAGTAGAAGATGGGCAGACGTGAGAACTAGCCCAGAAAATCAGCTTGGAGAGCTAGACCAATGGAGGGTTAGAGGGCTTTATTTATCTGATAGAGCCTGCTGAAGGAATTGCATAAGGGCGTGGGATGATTTTTGTTCTGGTTCCAAATAACCCTGCAAACACCAGCTCTGGAAAAGCAAATAAGGTTAGGACATCAGCCATCCCCAGTAAATCTGCCAAAGTCAATGCTGCTGTGGGGGAAGATGTTCCAAAGTCTGCTTGGAACACAGTGCTAACCGTAGAGAGAGGAGGCAGCCGAGGGATGAAACAGACAATGGCCATCCCAGAGTGCAGTTGGGGTGGCAGCAGAGGGAAGGTCATCTACCCAAATAAGATAACACATTGCCAGCCACAGCACTCATGAGGGGGCAGGCAATATGTTATCTGATAAATCGTTATCTGACAAATCTTTTAATGGTGGTGACTGATCCTCCTCAAGAAGAAACAGTGAGCTATGGGAGGTGACAGATCTTTGGTAAGAAGAATGGACTCGAAAGGAATGAGTTCTTATGGTAGGGAAGGTGTGACCAGCACAGCTGTATGGATTTCCCTTCCCCCTCCTTCCTGCAGACCTCAACCCCGGCCCTGCCGGGAACAGCACAGGCAGGCCCTGCTTTGTGACTTCTGGGTGGCTGTTTGGCACCAGTAGCACTCTGGTCCCAGCCAGGGCACAAATGTAGTGTAGTAGAATTCTGATCTACTAGGAGTCCCTCATTTAATACAGCTCTGGGTTGGATCCTGGCATTCCAAGCAAGGGCAGTTATGAACACACTCGCCTGCCATAAGGGCAGTTATGAACACACTGGTCTGCCTCAGGGGCAGTTGTGAACACACTGGTCTGCCTCAGGGGCAATTGTGAACACACTCGTCTGCCATAAGGGCAGTTATGAACACACTGGTCTGCCCTACCCTTTGTGCAGCTGCAACAAGCTCATAGTGTATCTGTGGCTTTTGACAGCCCCAGACATGACCTCCAGGGAGTGTGGACAGGGCAGTGACGGGTTTCAGAAATGCCATGCAAGGACCCAGAGCAAAGAAGCCTTTCCACGGAGACCGTTTCAAATACTGAGACTCACCGTCATGTTTGGGAGGGCTTGTTCTGTGATTTAATGTTGCCTCAAGGGGGAAATCCTTGTTACAGGAGAAGAGAAAGAGAAAACTCCTGGAGGAAATCTCAATGGCATCAACTTGTAGGGGACAGATTGGGTGTGGTTGCTGAGGGAGGGTGACAGGGCCGAGATGGTGGCTGCGATGGCTCAGTTTACATTTGCTTCCAGCTATGCATGCGCGTACAGAACTGAATGGGAACTCTGGGTTCTCTGGGGGTCGGGTCATAACTCTCAGAGACATCCAGTTACTCATCTAGCACAGTCAACTTCCCATTAACCATGTACAATCTTAATTAAGGGCATGCCATAGGAGCTCTTTGGGAGGGGTAGGCTTTTCCCTGTAAATACTTAATCTAGACATTACTGATTATTTGGAAACCCAGGAGTGCTCCGTAAGTTACAGGCTCGGGCATATAAACCATGACTTTAGCCTCCACAGGGCAGTCGAATTGTAGACTTGGAACCATCTTTTGTGAAAACCTAATCTACTCTCTTTCACATAACCCAGTTCTCAGACCCTTGGATAGAAACCCATCCTGTTTAGTGTGACTTGTCCCCCACTGGGGTTAGAATAAGCCCGAAGTGAAGAGGGATAATTTACAGAAGTACCTCATAAGTCAGAGGTGGATAGGTGTATACACCTCTGCTTGCTCTGTAAGAACCTGTTCTGGAGCCCTCTGCCAGGTAAACTGCATCATCTTTAACGTGGGCTCTCTACCTGTGAGCAGTATATTCCTTCTCTCTGTTTGACCCATGGCAAGATGGCCTCCCGTCAGCTCCGGCCACCTGGGGCTCCCTTTCCCAGCCATGAAGGCCTTTCAGGTCTTCTCTCAGCTCCTCCCTTTACCCCAGATGAATGCAGCTTCTATGTCCATATAAGGAATGGGTTTTTAAATAGCAGCCTTCACGCCCATCTGCATGGACACCCCTGAAGTCACAGCCCCTCCAATGCTCTGGTGCCAGCCTGCCACTCAGGGGCATCTCCCGATGCTGCACCTGTATGCCTGGGAAGAGATCTAAAGTCTATTAAAATGCGATTTGCATGAAGAAAAAAGACAAAGTGGCAATGTACCAAACAGTAACACTATTTGTAGCATAAGGTAGCAGTTGACTGTCACCCAGTGATGCAGGGAAAGGAGAAGCAGAAATTTCTCTTAACCATGTGCCTCATTTTCCTAGATCAAATAGAATGTAAGGCTCTTTATTTTTTCTATTTAGCATTATAACATAAATGTTGTTCCACACTATTAAAGAGACTTAAAAGCATGTTTGTAAGGATGCCATGTGGCTCTGTTGGGTGCCTGTGTTATTTTGGTGACTCTATGCACTTTTCCCCCTGAGCACTCAAGTCGCTATGGGGCAACATTGCTCTGTGCTCACACCAAATACAACGCAGCGTGGTAAAGCTTGCTGAGGGAAACTGGTCCTAAGTCTCAGGATTGCAATTCCCAAGATGGCAGCAGGGTAGTAGGCAAAGCTAATGATGGCACAGACCTTAGGACAGAAGTTAGGAATGGCATCAGGGCCTCTATGTGTCACGAGGGAGTCATTAGACTAGGCCATATGATTGAATCATTCCAACACAGAGTTTAGTATTTAAACCAGGCCTGGTGACACAACTCTGTTAATCCTGATCTTAGGTACTAGGGAGGCTGAGGCAGGAGGATCATACATTTAAGATCGGCCTGGGCTACAGGGTGAGTTAATTGCCACCTTGGTCACTTTTAATGTGATTCTGAGGGAGAAAGAAAGGAAGGAGGCTGGGCACATAGTTCAGTGGTAGAGCATTTGCTTAGCATGGACAAAATCCTGGGTTCAACCCCTAGTTATATAAGGGAGAGGAGAGAAGGTGAGCAGAGAGAGAGGAAGAGGGAGAGAGAGAGAATTCAGTATTTACAGCCGTGAAATGTGACTCAGGACAATATTAACTCCAGGGCCAGAGTTTTTCAGAGGCCTGCCGGGGTCTCAGTATAGAAGCGTAGTTCTAGGAGGGGGTGAAATACCCAAGTGAGGCAGGGGGACAGTTAGAAATACAACTCACAAACTAGAGCATGAACGTGTGCATGCCAGCAAAAGCCAGAAGACTGACTGGCTGCCACGGAGAAGAAGAAGAAGCCTCAGGGTTGGGTTAATCATGGGTCGGCCACTTGACTCTGCCCTTTATGGTTCCTAAAGGGCCCAAGCACTGTGAAGCCACGCATTTAACTTCTGATAAACATGCATGCTGTTTCTTCACTCCTATGCTCAAAGAACAAACTTTTTTTTTTTTTTTTTTTTTTTTTTTTTTTTTTTTTTTTCTTGGTCAGGTGGGGGCATCTACTATCTATGAAGTCAGGTGCCTAGACACAGAGGGAGAAGCCGCCATCAGGTGTCTTGAAGGTCCTCTCTCATCACACTGGGCTCTGAAACATCTGCTCTGCTAGAAACCACATATTATTGTACAAAACCATCATGCCATGAGTGTATGCATTCTCATACACAGTGAGAGTGGGTTTTAGTTCTCGGATATAAAACACCAACTAACAGGGTGCCAGTTAGCCTTTATCCCAGGCTCCATCAGGTATCTAAGGAAGGTAATTCAGCACCAGTCCCTCCACAAGACACTGCCCAGTTGCCTGAAGAGCCCTTTACATTCAGTGCCAGTGTGCCACGTTTGGGTGGCACGGACCTGACCATAGAGGCAAAGAGTTTAAAGCCAGTGACCTGGTCCTGATGATCACACTGGCTCTGCAGCTCTACCTGCAAAAGAAGACGCATGAGGACACACATATGAGGGAGCAGCATCAGACTGAACTGAGGCAAGGAAGACACGAAGGTGCCAGGGTTAAGGAGATGCCACCCTGGGCTTGCTCCCCTTCATTTCTGAGCTGTAGGCTCTTCCTTCCTCTCTGGCCTTGGTGAAGGGCAGGATGTACACACAGAACAGCAAGAAAACCCTTTGGATCTCAACTGATCTCTCTTCTTTTTCTCCCTTCTTTCTTTTGTTTCAAGGGACATTGCCATTGTCACCACCATTGTTGCTGTCTTTATCATTTGAGCTGGTGAGACGGGCCCCAGGGACACCATGATTCATGCAGCTGGTTGTACCTGATCCCAGAAGAAATGACAGGAACCCTCCATTCTCTTTTGTTCAGAAGGAAGGCCTTCTACTGCATGCTACTCAGTGTGGCCGTGATGCCTCCCACATGCTCCAGCTCACAAAGGATGAAAGGAAGGAAGGAAGGAAGGGAGGGAGGGAGGGAGGAAGGGAGGGAGGGAGGAAGGGAGGGA